GATTTTGATGGTTGGAATGTGTTTAGAGTTGGCAGAAAAGATGAGGTGCGCAGAAAACGCTGCTCAAGCAGTGCTTTTTCAAAATCGCTGTCTTTCATTGGTACTTGAGCCCTGCATTAGGGTTTGAGTATGCACCAAGGTAGGGTTAGGGTTAGACAAAATTGGTGTCCTGGCATGATTTTGATGGTTGGAAAGTGTTTGGATTGGCAGAAAAGATGAGGTGCGCAGAAAAAGCTACTCAAGCGGTGCTTTTTCAAAATCGCGGTCTTTCAGTGGTAATTGAGCCCTACATTAGGGTTGGGAGTATGCACCAGGGTAGGGTTAAGGTTTGACAAAATTGGTCTCCTGGCATCATTCTGATGGTTGAAATGTGTTCAGAGTGGGCAGAAATGATGAGCTGTGCAGAAAAAGCTACTCAAGCAGTGCCTTTTCAAAATCGCGGTCTTTCATTGGGAATTGAGCCCTGTATTAGGGTTGGGAATGTGCACCAACTTTGGGTTAGGGTTAGACAAAATTGGTGTCCTGGCTATATTTGGGTGGTTGGAATGTGTTTAGAGTGGGCAGAAATCATGATCTGCCCAAAACAAGCTACTCAAGTAGTGCTTTTCCAAAATCGCTGTCTTTCATTGGTAATTGAGCCCTAAATTAGGGTTGGGAGTATGCACCAGGGTAGGGTTAGGGTTAGACCAAATTGGTGTCCTGGCATGATTTTGAACTTTGGAATGTGTTTAGAGTTGGCAGAAATGATGAGCTGTGCAGAAAAAGCTACTCAAGCAGTGACTTTTCAAAATCGCTGTCTTTCATTGGTAATTGAGCACTAAATTAGGGTTGGGAGTATGCACCAGGGTAGGGTTAAGGGTAGACAAAATTGGTGTCCTGGCATGATTTTGATGGTTGGAATGTGTTTAGAGTTGGCAGAAAAGATGAGGTGCGCAGAAAAAGTTCCTCAAGCAGTGCTTTTTGAAAATCGCTGTCTTTCATTGGTAATTGAGCCCTACATTAGGGTTGGGAGTGTGCACGATGGTAGGGTTAGGGTTAGACAAACTTGGTGTCCTGGCATGATTTTGATGGTTGGAATGTGTTTGAGTTGGCAGAAAAGATGAGATGCGCAGAAAAAGCTTCTCAATCAGTGCATTTTCAAAATCGCTGTCTTTCATTGGTAATTGAGCCCTACATTAGTGTTGGGAACATGCACCAAGGTAGGGTTCGGGTTAGAAAAATTGGTGTGCTGGCATGATTCTGATGGTTGGAATGTGTTTAGCGTTGGCAGAAAAGATGAGATGCGCAGAAAAAGCTACTGAAGCAGTGCTTTTTCAAAATCTCTGTCTTTCATTAGTAATTGAGCCCTAAATTAGGGTTGAGAGTATTCACCAGAGTAGGGTTAGTGTTAGAAAAAATTCGTGTCCTGGCATGATTTTGATGGTTGGAATCTGTTTATAGTTGGCAGAAAGGATGAGATGCGCAGAAAAAGCTACTCAAGCAGTGCATTTTCAAAATTGCAGTCTTTCATTGGTAATTGAGCCCTAAATTAGGGTTGGGAGTATGCACCAGGGTAGGGTTAGGGTTAGACAAAATTGGTGTCCTGGCGTGATTTTGATGGTTGGAATGCGTTTAGATTTGGCAGAAAAGATTAGATGTGCAGAAAAAGCTACTCAAGCAGTACTTTTCAAAATCGCTGTCTT